GTTGATGCACCTCGGCGTCCAAAAGACTTTGGCCGCGATGTAAAAGGATTTTTTCTGGGCCGGTATGACGGCAGACGTCAATTACTTTGTCCGCTCATGCCATGATTGTGCGAAGAGGAAGCCGCCTCAGAACCACTATGTACCACCGTTACGTTCCATCGAGGTGTCCCGTATCAACGAATTAGTTGCTCTCGACATTCTGGGCCCGTTTCCCCCATCGGCTAGGGGCAATAAATACCTTCTGGTCGGGGTGGAATATTTTTCTCGATGGCCGATGGCCTGGCCTCTACCCGACCAAACGGCAGCGTCCATCGCCGACGCTTTCTTGAACGGGTATGTTATGGACAAGGGGGCACCTGAGAGGCTGCTCACAGATCAAGGGCGGAATTTCTCCTCTAAATTGCTTAAGGAAGTTTGTGACGCGCTGGGTACGAAGAAAATTCGCACTTCCCCATACCATCCACAAACAGATGGTATGGTGGAACGTTTCAACCGTACCCTCTCGGCTATGCTTTGTCACATGGTCAGTGAAAAGCAAACCGATTGGGACCTGCACATACCAGGCGTCTTAGCGGCATACCGCATGGTTCCACACACGTCCACGGGATACTCACCATATTTTTTTATGTATGGCCGTGAAAATGTTCCACCCATCGATGTGCAACTGGGTAAGCCGAGTAAACAACCGTCCCGCTCCTTGCCTGACCACGTGCGCGTCTCGCTTGAACGAGTTACGGAGGCGCGAGAGGCTGCCCGTGTGCGACGGCCCGTGCCCAGGCAAGGAACGAATGGTATGCGCGTCGATCGCATACTCGCATGCCTTGGTCAGTGGGAGACCTGGCGTGGCTCCACTGCCCCCAGGTGCCGGCAGGCACGTCCCCCAAACTGCACAGGCCGTGGCGGGGGCCTGTGACGCTGGTAGATGTTCGGAACTCGCAAAGTATCCGCGTTCAGTACGGAAAACGTCGGTGGTATGTTCATTCCTCGCGACTTAAGCCCTATGTTGACGCGCGTGTCGGTCCTTCATCCCCACTAGCTGACCTGCCGGGTTCTGCCGAGCCGACTACGCCGATTGCCACACCCGTTGATCCCAAGGGGGACTGTGTTGTGCCTCCTACAGATGAACAGGTTCTGAGGGCTGAGGAAGCCCTCGCTGCCCCCCCTCCAACGGGGCCTGCCCTGGACGTGACCAAGCACCAACAACCTACTTCTTCTTCGAGTCTACTACCTCCTGTCCATCCGGAAGCAAAGCGACCATGCGCTGGGAGCGGAGGAGGTCCCGCGTCACATACGCGGTCGAAATCTCTCCCGTTCCGTTAACGTTTGATCGTTTGGCTATTTTCCCTGTCGTTACTGCGCTGCAGGGGCGCCCTAATGTATGTCGGGTTTTTCATGGGTGACTGTTTTTAAGTGTTGTTCGGCGCGGGGACGCCGTTTCACCCTCTACTGGTAAATGCACCTTGGTGCCCTAATAAGATGTTTTACGGAATTGGTTCATCACCCTTTTCCCAGCCGAGACGGCTGATTTTTTCACCGGGGGGGGGGGGGGGGGGGGTGATGTAATAACAGCTATAGAGGATTCACGTGGGGATTGGCTTGCCAGTCCTGCTTTGTAGCCAATAAGGAATGAGCCAGGGAGCATGGCCCCGGCGTGATCACGGCGTGTTAGCAGGGGTGATTGGCTTGGCCAATTGGGGCCTCAGCTAATGGGGAGCCGGATCAGGGGCGTGGTCCCGGGATTGACAGGGAACCATCTGGAACGGTTAACGCTGTCCATGGAGGATTGGCTGGGGAGTACCACGTGACGGAGGGATAAAAGGAGAGAGAGGACAGTCGTGAGCAGACTGGGAACCGAGCAGAGCGGGAGTCACGCGCGTACGGGGCTCCGGGTGCCACGTGCGCGGTGGGGACTTAGCGAGAAGTCTGCCCTCTCTCCGTTGTCAGCCAGCAACGGAGAGTGTGTCTAAAGTGTAACTGTGAAAAGTTGACAATAAAGGACTGATTCCGGAAGCCGTCTCAAGAAGGTTTATTACATTTTGATACTGGCAAGGGAAGTCCCGTGAGGTGTTAATATGTTCGAACACAAAATTGATGCCTGTTGCAAGGAATAAAGTCTACATTAACCACAAAACTTATTTGGTGTTTGAACACCTGAACACAACTCATGTTTTATTGCCAGAAAGGGTAAAACCTATCATTATTATCTTCTCAAAATTGATACCGGCAAAAAGGGTCCTATTTAGTTTTTTTTCACGCGCTGATGTTAATGTGATACAGCCGCACTACCCCTGGGGCGCCTGCCCCCCGCCCACATGAGTGGGTCACGGTGCCGGGTTCAGCAAAGAGCCTCGCCCGGTGGTTTGTAGCTTCACAAACTTGACCCTGAGCCCCAGCCACGTGACCGAGTTCAACACAGCAACTCCCACCGGTGTCTCACAGCTCGACAACTGGAACGCGACTTTGAAACAGGAACAAATTATTTTCATCAAGTAGTTTAAAGTGTTAAACTTCAAAGAAAAAGAGAAGCTGAAAGAAAGCTGAAAGACACAGCGCCGCGTGAGTGATTAAGGCGGGGTCGATACACCCGTTCGCTGCCGTTCGCACTCCTTTACAAGGACATAGTAAAAAATTAACCCGTTAAAACAAAGTTTTTCACTATAAATCCTTTATATGCGTGGCCGCTAGAGTCCTCTCGTCCTCTGGCTTGAGATGGCTGCCACCTATGGGTCAGATGATTGCATGCCACCATTAAGCAATTGGTAATAATGAAATATAATATTTTTGTCCTAGAAAGTGTAAAATTTTTGAATAAATTTTTCACGAAAATTAATTGTCACGCACAACGAGTCTGTGTGGAAAATGTCAGCTCGATTGGATCACGGGAAGTGGGTTAAACAAGTAAACCCGTAAAAACAAAGTTTTTCACTATAAATCCTTTATATGCGTGGCGGCTAGAGTCCTCTCGTCCTCTGGCTTGAGATGGCTGCCACCTATGGGTCAGATGATTGTCTGCCACCATTAAGCAATTGGTAATTAAATATTTAATTTGTTTTCCCTAAACAGTGTAAAATTTTGGAATTTTTTTTTCACGAACTTAATTGTCACACACAACGAGTCTGTGTGGAAAATGTCAGCTCGATTGGATCACGGGAAGTGGGTTAAAAAACGAGCGAAAGATTTCCACGGTCCTAAGCAAGTAAGCGAACTTAATATAAAGGATTTAAAAATATATTCGCCTGTGGAGGACGCGGGGATCGATCCTGCGACCTTTGGCATGGGAAGCGAGGGCGCTACCAACTGCGCTACTCCGCCACGGCCTGTGGAGGGGTTACGCTTTGGGCTCTTACACTGTGACGTTCAGCCAAAGCCATGAATGTGTTCTATTTGAATATATGTAAAATAAAAAAATTTTGCCTAAAAAGTGTAAAATTTTGGGAATTTTTTTCACGAACATTAATTGTCTCGCACAACGAATCTGTGTGGAAAATGTCAGCTCGATTGGATCACGGGAAGTGGGTTAAAAAACGACCAAACGATTTGCACGGTCGTAAGCAAGCACGTAAGCAAGCACACAAGCAAGCAAGCAAGCACGCAAGCAAGCAAGCGAACTTAATATAAAGGATTTAAAAAACGACCGAAAGATTTGCACGGTCGTAAGCAAGCGCGGAAGTGAACTTAATATAAAGGAGACGAGGTGAGGTGAGTTTATGAGGTGGGTTGAGATGAGATGAGTTGAGGTGAGGTGAGTTGACGTGAGTTGAGGTGAGTTGAGGTGAGTTTAGTTGAGGTGAGTTGAGATGAGTTTAGTTGAGGTGAGATGAGGTGAGTTGAGGTGAGTTTAGTTGAGGTGAGATGAGGTGAGTTGAGTTGAAGTGAGTTGAGGTGAGTTGAGGTGAGCTGAGGTGAGTTACGATGGGGTGAGGTGATTTGAGGTAAGTTGAGGTGAGTTGAGGTGAGGTGAGATGAGGTAAGGGGCCGTCCATAAATGACGTCACGCCCCTAGGGGGGGGGGGGTGTCAGACATTTGTGACGATGCGTGACGAGGGGGGGGGTGGGTTGAGAAATGTGACGTCAACTTAAAATAAATGTAGAACTGTTATAACAACACTGATTTTGATAAATTTGCATTTTTAACTATTTGATTATTTACATTTACTAAGGTCACCTTTTATTTATTCCATGAAGGAGCATTTTGCTTCTCCATGGGAGAATGGAGAAGCATACATTTTGAACATTTTTTTAATGATTGTTAGTAAACATTTTTATTCTAATCATTCTACCAGGGCTTTTCATTCTATGGAATGAATATATGACTGTTATAATTGTACTCTCCATTTTGCTTCGTTCTTCTACAAAGTTTCAAGTATTTTTTTTATAGTTATGATTACTTTTAATATTTTATATTTATAAGATAATTTCAATATAATATTCTGATCTGCAGTTTTAGTTATACGTTGAATATTTTCAAGTGAATTTTATGCTAAATTTAAGCTTTCCAACGCCTCTTTTTTAATACGTGTTTTCTCCTACAACATCAGAGTGCAGCGCCGCATTAAATACGCACTACAATGACAATAGTTTAAAGCGATTTGAAGAATGTTTTATTTTCAAAATGGAAAGATGGTTTTGGGGGTGGGGGGGCAGAGCTTTGTGACTTCATATTTAATGGAAGGTCTGACTTTTTGTGACGCCGTGACGTCATTTAAGGACGGCCCCTGAGTTGAGTTGCGATGAGGTGAGGTGAGTTACGATGGGGTGAGTTGAGTTGTGATGAGGTGAGTGAGGATACGTATTTGAGATGTGGTAATCCAAGTCGTCTATTTTAAGCCACCCCTGGAGCGGAGACGTCTGTACTCACTCACACGTCAACACATTCCAGGGCACGCCTCGTGATATGCAAATCAAACTGAAAGACTTCCTGCTTCATTGTCACCTATTTACGTGGCTTGTTCCATGTTTAGCTTCTCAGACGCAGCCAGCGACAGACTGAGATACAGCCAGAGACTGCCTGAGCTACAACCAGCATCAATCTCTGAGCGGAGCCACACGGCCATGGCTAGTGCGATTCCCAGTGGTAGCGAGGCTCCAGGGGAGTTGACCTGCCCCATCTGCCTGGACGCCTTCCACTGCCCCTGCACGCTCAGCTGCGGCCACTCGTTCTGCCTCGAGTGCATGGAGGGCGCCTGGGATGCGGCAGAGTCCTTCTCCTGCCCACAGTGTCGAGTGACTTTCCCTCGGAGGCCCAAGCTGAACAAGAGCGTGACGCTCGCCAACCTGGTGGAGCAGCGTAGTACCGCAGATGAATTGGCCACCGTGGTCTTGTGTGACTTCTGCAACGATGGCACGACCGCTGCCTCGAAGACCTGCCTCAGGTGTGATATGTCCTACTGTGTGACTCATGTAAAACCTCATCAGGAGAACCGGAAGTTCAGGGACCACATTCTGGTGGATCCAGGCACGAATCCTGAAGAACGCAAATGCAAGAAACACAGAAAGAAGATCAAGTTTTACTGCCGACAGGACAAGAGCTTGGTCTGCACAACCTGCAACATCGCAGGAGACCACAAGGGTCACGATGTGGCTACGCTGGAGGATGAGCACAAGACACGGGAGGTGAGACGGTCTGCGTGTGTGAGCGGGAGCTTCTGCATGAAATCATCATTTCCCAGTACGAACTGAACAATAATATCCAGCTAAATATGATATAATTCCTCTCTCATCTTTAGATTGTTTCTTCAAATTTTATCAACCTTGATTTAACAAAAAGTATGCTGAGGTTGTCATAGTGCAGAAATAATACATATTATTATCAATCCTGTCATATAACAAATTTATAAATGTCCTCTTAGTACATTTTATAAAAAATGAAGGACTTTAATGCGTACAATGTTTTCTCCAAATTACGTGAGCGCATAGATTGTGGTTTGTATACAAAAAGTGCTTTGTGGTAGAGAGAAGCATTAACTAAAACGGAAACGAAATGTAAAACGACTGGGACTGCGTGAGCTGCAGTGCTCACCGCTTGGTAGCCTCGTGCCGGTCTGTGCCAGTTTAGCGCCGCACTCTAAAGCAGCTACCGGGCCACTGGACTTGATTTTCCAGAAATGTCGCGTGATTTTGACAGACCAAGTATTTCGTGACCGTATTTATATTTTCATAAAGATTCTCTTCACCGAATTTCCCCGACACTCAACAGAGACATGGCAGTCCCTCCTTGTGCCATGTAAAACTATTTTTTATTTTACCAAGTGAAGCTCACAGAGCTACGTAGCTTTTTCAGAGGCAAACCTGGCCACAAATGACAGCTCAAAGAAGTGGCTTATGACGTCGAGTTTCATAGCAGCCAAATACTCTAAACGCACGTTTCTAAATGTAGAGGGAAAACCAGAGGACCTGGACAAAAATCCATGCGACCATGGGAAGAACAAACTCCAAATATACAGGTGTCAGGGTCGGGATCGAAACCACGACCTCTTGTATACGTGGCAAAGCAGATTAACGTCTCACGGCGCCTTTTCCACCCATTACTCAGAGCCCCACTCACTAATCAGAGCCCACTGCTCAGGTAGGCCTGCCCACGACTCAGGTAGCAGTGGAGAGTGATTTGGTCCACAGGCTTAGGCTCCTGCGCGTGCTAAGTGAGCCCAGCTATATGTATGCTGAACTTCTTTTGCACCAAACGTAGCCAACCGTGCTTATCGGAGGTGCGGGGCAATGACAACTAAACACAAAATTCTCCAGGAGGCGTTTGAGCTCCTCGTGAAATCGGTTTCCTGCAGCGCTCGCTCCCCCAGCCTCCATTGCTGCACAGGGGCCGCTGCAGCCTGGAGATGGAACCGTCACTGTGGAGGGGTCCGTGTGGAGCGGGGGTGAGAGGGGGCGCTCAGAGAGTGAGTGGAGTCTCCCCTGGTGACGTCTCTCACAGAAACAAGTGGGAGAGGAGACGCGGGCGGTGGAGGAGAAGAGGAGGGAGGCGGAGGAGTTCGTGAGGCGGATGGAGGCCGCTCGCAGGGACGTGCAGGTAACCGCGTCTGGGCCGGACCCTGTAACCTCGAAACTCCACCCTGTGTAGGGTTTGTGATGGAGGACAACTCCATTCATTCACGTGGACTTCCATAGGCTCTGAACACATCGTGGACCTAAAGACACAACGGTCAATGCGCATCAATACCCAGGACAAGCAAAGAAGTGGTTCTCATCTCCAATGAGGAACTAAATCACTCGTGGAAATTCCACATTCTTAGGATGGGTGCCTGATATCCCCATGTGAACTGCCACTTCATCTTCTGTTATATATGTATATTCTGGCCAGATGAGGTGGCACATACCTGTTATCCAGTACTTCTGTGGCAGGGTTCACATTATATATATGTTTACAATATGTATCGCATTGTGCTTTGAACCCAAGTCATCTGAGATCAACTCCCAGTGATAACTAACATCAGTAATATCTGTAAAGCCACAACCACGCAATACACTGAATGCACGCAGTGTGATTTATACAATGTGCATATTCACGTAACCTATTCACATAGTACCCTCCCATTCAGTATATTGAAATGTGCTATGTGATCATAAAAGTTAATTTGAGTTTAAAAAAGTATCCGACAAAGCACAGAGACACTTAGAGGTAGGATCGCCAAGTTGCATGTCCTGTTCTCACAAGTGCACCGATCTATCACTGCTCAGTCACGAAACCCAGCTCTCGGGTCCAGTCCCAGCTGGGCTTGTTTTGTGGTAGGAATACAGCTTGGAAGCGTTGCTGATCAAACAGCTTCAATGACGACCTTTTGCTTTGTCACTCTGCTCGCATTACACACACCTTGCGCAACTCTACAAAAAGATGGGGTTCATATTAAATAATAATTAAAATTCCTTTTTTCCTCATATTTCTGATGTAATATTTGCGATTGAGTCCTGTGTAATTTGCATGGTTATGATAGGTGACAATTGAATTGTTCATTGGCTACCGAGGCCGTGATGCACAGGAGGGGTTCATCCTCCATCAGGTCACCGGGGTTGCAGGTCAAAACGTCTCCCATAGTGTGGGTTGCATGGCCACAGTGGCAAGAGTGTGGATTGACGTTAATGCATCTCTATGGGTCTCGATGAGTCTCTATGTATCTCTGAGTGTCTCCTTGGGTTTAGTATACAGTCCATAGTTTGGATTGTATGACCACAGTCACACTGCCCTATATGGGTCGATGTGCATCTCTATTTGTCTTCATGTGTCTGTGTTTTTCTATGGGTCTCTACATCTGAGTCTCTGTGTTTCTCTATGGATTACGAGGTAAATCTACGGGTCTCTACAGATGCACTTTATTGCCCAGAGTTTGCGTTGCGTGGCAACAGTCGCTTTCCATTCATGATTCAGGAAAGAGTTGTATAAACGCCATCTCCCTAAGACGTATATCAACCATTGCGAGATTAACTCCATCGTGAATTATTTAATAAACACAAATCACACGCCCTGTCAGGGATCGATGACCGGGGTGAGACAGCGAATCAATGGCGAGTTCGCCCGCATGAGAGCAGCTCTTGACGAGGACGAGAAGGCGGCTCTGGCTCGTGCAGCCATGAAGGAGCGCGAGCTGCTGACCCAGATCGAGAAGAACATCGCTCACTACCAGCGCGAGATTGGCGAGCTCCAGGCAGCAGCCACTCGTCTGGAGGGCCTAGCGCAGGAGAGGGACTCGCTCGCCTTTCTGCAGGTGAGCGATGAGTCTCTGGTGTCGCTATTTGCACAGAGCCATTGGCAGCGTCAGTGTTGAGGCTGCTGAATGAGGTTTTCACATCGACTGTGCTTTGTCACGCACGGCCTGAGCTTCCGCCCGGTCCTTGCGTGCCGTCGTCCCCAATTATGACGATGTTTGCAATGTAAGTCAGTGTTGGTGCTCATGAGGTCATGAGCCAAGACTTTGTGGTTTATATTCCACCTGCGCTGTTGCAGTGGGAACTCCACTGATCCCATGGGAATGGATGCAGAGTAACAGTAACGCATCTCTCTCTCTCCCACCCACAGGGGCACCTGGAGGAGACGCTCAGGTACAGACGACAATCACTCACGACTCGACACACGACAACATGGGACTGAGTGCGAGGCACGGGCAGTGAGAGACTGGCTGTGTGTGGGGATTCTGTGTGTGTGATGATCCTGATGGATGATTATCTTTGTAAGAAAGTGGCCGTGTCTGCTCTGGTTTCACAGGACAGAGAGGGTTACGTCTCAACCCTCAGCTCCCAGCCAAGAGGACATTGCCTCACTTAAAGTCCTGGAGGCAACTACTGTCAAGTTCATGTGTGAGTTATTTAGTGTGAATTATGGGTGATGGGGCCATCTTGACAACAGATGAACCCCGTGTGTGCACAAGGTCGACACACCCTCAAATTATTACCTGGTGTAGTGTAAACATCACCACTAGGGAGACAGGGGGCCAGGCATAGTACTGGCCACCCACCCCGTCGTGTGTCGTGCCAGCCTTCATAGATGCTAACGGACAGCACTTGTCCCAATAGTCTGCAAGGCTACACAAGGGATCTCTGTCGTTGTTCACATCCCATTCCAGGACCCTACTGAATAACACCATGATACTCAGTGTGGTGTTCTTGTGTAAATAATCAGCATGAGTCAGGGGTAATTGTGATGTTGAAATGCAGTGGGTCCCTGTGAATGTGTATGCGTGGAAGAGCGGTAGCACACTGCACTACGAACCCAGTTACCTGGGTTTGATTACCTGCCAGGGCTAACATCAGTGGCAGGTGATATCTGATCCAGTCCTGGGCCTCTGCTAGGCAGATTAAACCTCAAATGAGTTCCTGATGCTGGTAATGGTCATAATGATGGGGATAGTGGTCGTGATGAGGATGGTGGTAATGATAGTGGTGCATCGGCCAGTCATCTCAGTTGTCCCATGGCACCTGGGTCTGCCCCATGACCTCCTGCCAGTGGGCGTTCTATACTTCGCATGGCCTCAACGTGCACATAGCCTGGCACAAGCGCCGTGGTGAAGTCACCGCTACTTTGTGACGAATGGCGCTTGTTGTTGTTGGTAATGATACTGTTGGTGATAATGTGAGTGATGAGAATAGTAATGCCCCACCTCTTATTGGCACGCTCCAGTCTCAGCAGCATCGTCTCCAACTCCTCCTCTGAATGAGCAGCTATTACCATCAGCCCCACCAAAACTAAGCACCTGCATGGGTATTTTATACCACTCCACACCCACAACTCCCAATCGGTGATGGGGCAGTTGTGGAGAGAGTGGAGAATTTCCCATACCTGGGCAGTGTGCTTATGACCGGCTCAAGTTTAACAGCAAAGGTCTCACTCTGAATCAGTCGAGCGGCAATATCTTTCATCGGTTGCGTAATGCTTTGTGGAAGCTTCCTGGTCTGTCGCTCCACACAAAGCTTCAAGTTTTCTCGGCCACAGTCATTCCCTCCCTTCTCTACGCTTGCGAAACGTGGACCCCCCTAATGGAGCATCTTCGCCGGATAGGAACATTTAGGCTGGCCTGCCTACGATCCATCCTGGGTTTAACCAGGCTGGATTGTGTGAGGAGCTCACAAATCCTTGAAAGATCTGGGCAAAGTCTCATCGGTGAGCTCCGGCAGGCAAGGCTGCGTTGGCTGGGTCATGTAGCCCGCATGCCCAGCCACCACATGCCTAAACAGCTTTTGTTCGGCCGGATCGAGGGGGCTAAACGGACGCGGCACGGGCTAGAGATGGAGTGACGTGGTACAGGAGGACGTGGAGCTGAGTGGACTTGCCGATGACTGGTACCAGCGGTGTCAAGATCGGCCTCTGTGGAGGAGGCTCATGAAGGATGCTACTGGGCAGTTGGAAGCATATCGCCCTCCAACAACAACGGAGGGCGGAGGTGCGACGCTCACAACAACGAGCGGAGCGCCGGGTGGATAAAGCACAGCAAGTTGGCACAGTAGGGGGCACAGGTGGTGCATCAGCCAGTCATCTCAATCGTCCCATGGCACCTGGGTCTGCCCCGTGACCGCCTGCCAGCGGGCGTTCGACACTTCACATGGCCTCAAGGTGCACATGGCCTGGCGTCGTGGTGACGTCACCACCACTTAGTGGCGAATGGCGGTTGTTGATGGGAATGGTAATGGATTTGGTGAGTGGTGGTGATGGTGGAGGTGATGGTAGTGATGGTGCTAGTGGTGGTGATGATGGTTGTGATGTTGCTGATGGTGATAGTGATGTTGTTACTGATAGGAACGAAGTGAACCAGCCTACAATAGATTATATCGTCCGTCCGTCCGATGTCCAATTAGGTGTAGCAACATCACCCCCTACTGCAAACACTTGGCAGGACCCTACAAAAACCTTTAGACTCAATGAGGCTTTCCTGGCTAAACAAGTGTAACTATAATTCCCTGAGATAGTTTATAATTAAAACATTTAAATTAAAAATTAACTCACAGCGGCCTAAAGCCTACAGCTAGGCCTAAAGCCTAGAACTAGGCCTCAAACTCTCCCTTCGTATCGTATTTGTTCGTTCCTACCAGCCCACCCCGCAGGGACCTGTTAATGTTCATAGTGTTGATAGTGGTGATGGTGATGTGTATGTTGTTGTCATCGATGATTTTAATGGAGAGGATGGTTGGTGATGGTGATGTTTGTGATGTTATTGTTGATGGTGAAGATGATGGTTGGTGATGGTAATGTTGATGGTTGCGATGGTGGATGATGGTGATGGCGGTGTTCTGTAATGATGTTGTCATCGCTGTTGTCACAGATGGACGCTCACCGACTCTGGGCACAAACTCAGCTCATAACGAACTCCAGATCTCCTCGGATCTGAGGACGATGATGCGGTACAATGGCTTCCAGGGTTGCCCCGATTACCCACACAAGTTTATTGGCTGTGCACAACCCCTGTGCTGTGAGAGCTTCTCGTCGGGCCACCACTACTGGGAGGTGGATGTGGGGGACGCGAGGTGGTGGCGGGTTGGAGTCACGTACGGGACGATCCCACGGAAAGGACGTGGTGGTGCTGCACAGCTGCTGGGAGGGAGCAAAGCGTCCTGGTGTTTAGAGAAACGTAACGACAACTTCTCAGTGTTTCATGCTGGAGTGGAGACTGCACTGTCAGTGAGTGGGGACCCCTCCCCCCGCAGAATCGGGCTTCACCTGCATTGGGAGGGGGGGCGCCTGGCGTTTTACCGCGCTGACTCCATGGAGGTGATCCACGAGGTTCGGCAGAGATTCTTGCAGCCTCTCTACCCTGGGATGTGGGTGGGGTGTTTGATTGAACCATTGAAGATCGTGGATCTGAGTCGTGCATCCTGAGAATGAGGAAAAATAGAAACCCAAGAAACTGAGACAGAAACCCAAGAAACTGATGAAAGGGGGGATGGTGAGGAGAGGGTGAGGTGAGGGTGAGGGGAGAAAGGAGGGGAAGGTGAGGGAAGGTGGCGGGTGAGCCTGGAGGGGTAGGGTGAGGGGTGAGGGTGAGGTTCAGATTGGCGTGCGTGAGCGATGTCGCCGATGCAGTAAAAATCGCAGGTTCGTGTGGCCACTCCTTCACCTGCAGTGTGCGCGTCACCATGCCTCCTCATCCCTGCGATTCACCACCATCATCATCATCACCCTATTATCATCACTGTCATCATCACCATCATCACCCCATCATCATCGCTACAATCACCACCATCACCACCACTATCATCACCATCATCATCACTACCATCACCACCATCAATACCACCAGCATCATAATCATCATCACCATCATTATCCACAGCATCACCAACATCATCATCACCATCATCATTACTATCAACACCACCTAAAACCATCATAATCACAATCACCAACATCATCACCACCATCATTACTATCATCATAACGCTCACCCCATCATCATCATCATCAAAGTTGACATCACAATCACTGTCATCACCACCGTCAAAATTACCATCATCACCATTAGCATCACTATCATCCTCACCGTGAAAACCACCATCACCATCACTCTCATCACGACCATTACCACCATCTTCCTCAGCACCATCATTACCACCACCACTGTTTATCACCACCACCACCACCATGATCACCACCACCACCATCATTATCATCACCGCCCACGTCACCACCATGATTATCACCATTCTTACTATAATCATCACAACCATTACCACCGTCATCATCACCACCATCACTACCATCATTACTACCATGATCAACACCACTACCATCATCACCATTTCACGATTATTACCACCACTATCACCATCATCATGGTAACGTCTCTGTAACGTATTTGTAGTTCGGGCTGTTATTTTCGTTTATTGTGTTTAACCGGGGCGAGAACTCAAGACACCAGGATATGAGTCTCATTTGTAAGAGTGAGTGGCATGGGGAGTGAGTGCTTGGGAAAGTAAGTAGATAAGTAACAGAGATTATGGGTGATTGAATGATTGAGTGAGTGCATGGTTGATTGTTGAGATCGTGGGTGAGTGAGTAGGTGGGTAGACGTGGGAGATGGTTTGTGGGTGAGTGAGTGAGTGCATGGGTCAGTGGATCGGTTGCGTGTTTGAGTAAATGAGAGTGTATGTGTTGAGTGCATGAGTGAGTAGATTATTGAGTGATCGATTGAGTGCATGGGTGATTGAGATGGTGGGTGAGTGAGTGGCTGAGTGGGTCAGTGTTTAAGTGAGTTAGCGAGAGGGTAGGTGAGTGGTAAATGATTGAGTGAGTGAGTTCAAGTGTATAGTCTGTAACCGGGTGTAGAACTCGAGAGACCAGGACAGGAGTCTCATTTGCAAGAGCGACCTGGGGCTGGGGGGGGATCTCTAAAATAACAAAAACGACAACGTGAGCACAGGGAACAATAACGAAGCGAAGATAAATTAGCGGAAAAAAACAAACAACAACCACCACCATGTTACAGACGGAACCGGAAAAAACAGCGCCCCGAACAAACTCCCAATATTGCATGGGGGGAGACAGCGACTGTCCACCCAACTCACAGTCGTGTCCAAGTGTTGGGGGGCTATCTCGTCTACCCAGGGCCACCCGTCGCGGCGTCCAACGCGACGTAACGACGACTCCCACAGACAACACCGACAGCCCACTCCTCCCGGTTAACCACCCCACCACGGTTCCTGGGTTTGTCGTCACGGAAGCGGACCGGTAGCTGCTGCAAGCTGCGCTGGGCGTAATGTGTTCAAAGCGGCTAACCCGCCGGATTATCCGGGCAGCTGCATTCTGCACTAACTGGAGCCTCTGCACAAATCCAAGTGGAAGCTCTGCACAGAGGGCGTTACAATAATCTAGGCGTGTTGAGACAAAGGCATGGACTAATGATTACAGGTCTGGGGCAGAGAGGATCAGGCACAACCCTCTACTCTGAACGCAATGGCAGAGCCAGGATTTTCAGGTAGGGGGGCAACCCCTCCAGCAATAAAAAAATGATAGTTGTTGTTAGTAAGGACTTGTCCCTTGCTTTTTATTCGACGCGTGTACGGCGATGGCGCAGCCATCGATCAAGGGTCGAATTCGAACCGTGTGTGATCGGCATCACGCAAGGTGTTAATACCTTCAGGGAAGTAGTGTACTCTATACTCAACTGCGCACAATTCTGTGAGTCACTTATAATCGCTTTGCCGTCACTTATTGCCAATTATGGACTAAGAATATTGTCCTATCATCTCATAGAGTCCCTGGCACGTAATAATATGCTGCACAGTGGCAGTGGGGGTCGCAAAATGCCGATTAATTACTAATAAACCCCAATGATGAGCTGTGAGCGCACGGTCAAGTTCTGATCGAACAGAACACCGAGGTTGAGTACTTTGGACACACGGAGAGGGCGAGCTCTGCTAATCAGTGGAGGATCGATGTGGCCCTGCCACGCTCTCAGATGCTGCTCTGAGCCAACTATCTTGTACTCTGTCTTGCCCAGGTTTAAATGCAGCCAGTTTTGTTTCAGACAAGCATTCTAAAAGGGCAGGAATTTTTGCGTCTGGATCACTCGAACATTGCAAATAATTTCTTTAGAACTGATGGTTCTGTTTCGTTTGTTGTCATCACCCCGCACCTCCGATTAGCACGGTTGGCTATGTACGGTGCGAAAGAAGTTCAACATACATACATAGAATCTGAATCAGCATCTTTAAACTCGAGAAATCCAATGATTTATTAAGATATTTTTCAAAGATGTCCAGTAGGGGTGGGTCAGAAAGTTATAATAACAAACAGTCCAAACAACGGATAGGGGTGTAAAATATAGGAAAGGTGTGCAAATCACTGAAACTAGATAAATACTAATTAAACTAAGTTTACAACTACAAATTGCAATCGTATATTACTTCCTACCGATTTTCAAAACTAAATGCAAGCGTGAGCAAGGCAGGAACACAACAACAGTCCCAGATCACACCAAGACAACACGGCAGTCCCTGGATACAACTGCACATGAATATTGAACTATCGATACGTGGGTATGGATCAACGTTCCAATCACATTTGCAAATGAGGCTTTGTACAGCATGAATCTTCCGCTTCAGAACATTTATTGAAGAAAGATTTATGATGTTAAGGGAGGAAACAATGTTATTCCAAAACGTTGATGCTGCAACAGCAAAGGCCTTGTCACCCATTCCAATTTTCATTGTCGGGATAGTTCACAGGCAATTAGATGTACGTCTTAGGTTTCTTTGGTTTGACAATGGGCTTTATGATTTAGCTAATTGAAGCACAGATTTGCCAATAAGGGTTTTATGGATGAACAGGGCCTAATGTAGATTTCGTTTTGCATCAAGTGATGTGAGATTGGATTTGAAGTCGAGGTCAAACTAGTGGGTGCTACATGGTACATACAATACAAATCGAAGATCAGAATTATAAATGGGGTTTAGTCTAAGTGTTAAATTAGTAGCTGATGTATACGCAGCATCACCATAGCCACCGTACTTTGTGATAAAAAAATGTGTGGACAAGATTTTACCACGATGTACCTTTTTGATAACGGTCTGAGATATATCTCTGAAATCATTTTATCGTACTGTCTGACAATTCTAGTTGACTGTGTCTTGTGAGTAGAATATCATGGTCAAGAGTTTCAAAATGCTTTTGACGAGGATACAATACCACATTACAGACAGGAAATACCGATTTGTCGTTAATTTAAGCGGCACAGCCGATGGTGGTGTACTTCCGACACGTCACTTCTCCTGCCCAAAGGAGAGAAACTTAACCGACGATTCATGAACCCATTTAACAATAACGCTGGAATATGCTCACACACAACAGAATGGGGAAGATAAGGAGGCGTGTCAAGACGGAAACACTCCACATATTCAAGGGCCTCTCCATGGACATGGATAGACGGGGGGTGGTTGGCTGATCCAATGGCAGTTGATGGACTACCTTGGCTTTGGTGATGTTCAAGAGTGGTACTGTCCACCCACCCCCACTCCTCGTGTGCCGTGCCGGCCTTCAAAGGTGCAACTCGCTAACAGCACGTGGCTCAGCAGAAGTGTGCTAAGGCTGTACGGGGATATTTGTGAATACCTCTACAGTCTTGTCATCTCCCACAGCTCCGAGATTACGAAGCCATCGCTGCAATCATATTTAGTCAGCTGGGAAGAGTAAGACGGAGTTCATTCGAAAATCAGTGGGGTATCTCTCAATAAATCCCCCTGTATTAGGGTGATTTCTCAAGGTTGTGGTTTGTATGTTAAAGGTGGTTTCAGGTGTTGGTGGTTTGTGGTCAATGCAGGATTGAACGCTTTGTTACAATGTGGCTTTTTATTAAATGGTATATGGGCAGCTACACGAGGTTATTTTGTTTCAGCCAAATGAGAGTGAGTGGGTGCGTGAGATGGTGGGTGATTGAATCAGTGAGTGGGTGAGTGTAAAAGTGACACAATGCAAGTGAGATGGTGCATGAGTGAGTGAGATGGTGAGTGAATGAGTGATATGGTCGGTGAATGAATCGATGGGTGCGTGAGATGGTGGGTGAGTAGGATGGTGGGTGAGTGAATGAATGAGTCGGTGAATGAGTGAGATATGCTGTGGTGAGTTAAGGGCGAGGTATATGTGAGGTGAGTTAGCATGAGGTATGTTGAGATAAGACGACGTGAATTGAGATGAGGTGAATTGAGGTGAGATGAGGTGTATGAGGATGAGATGAGATGAGTTGTCACGTAAGTTGAGATGGACTTTGACCAACCACCCCTAGCGCTCACACGTCAGCACCTTTGAAACCGTAAGAACCAAAGAGCAGTGCAGTACTTTATGACCACAAATACGACAAATGCACGCATTACACCGTGACCACGGGACTCCGGGAGGAGACCATCGACGACTGCCGGGCAGGCGGCTCCGAGACCTCAGAC